AACTTGCTAAATGTTGTGAAATTCCAAAATAATGAACTGGTTTAACTGAGAAAATCAGATTTCCCTCTTGTATCACAAACACTTTTTGCCAAAGTGGGGGGAGAATTTACAGATTTGCTTGTGATATAAAAGTAACTTATATGATGATTTGTGTTTATGAAAATTATGAAATTATACCTGGAAGTAGCCAGTGCTTTTCTGGATTTAGAGTGAACTATCATACAGTCACTATTTATGTGAAATTCTAGTATGTAATTATTTTCTTAATTTCTAATGCTTGATTTTTAAACCAGGATGAGTTTAAACTCAAAAAAAGAAAAAAAAAGAAGAAAAAGATATTGAATGAATTTTTTTGAAAGGCCTGATAAACTTTTTATTATTAATTGTTACTGCAACAACATGAGAGAAATAATAATTATCTAGCCTTAAGCTGTGATTAGTCAAACTTGCTATTTGAGGTAAAATCTCTATGGACTGGAATTTGATATTGTTCTGAGTTTTGAATTTCGGTAAAAATGTCTGAATTATTGTCATAATAAATGATTGTCATAGATCACCATTCATGGGAAATGCCATGAGGTGTTCAAATGGAGTGTGATCCAATAACTGCTACAGGTGGGAAAATTGAAAGGATGAACTTTCATTGGTGAATGTAGGATCCTCTTGACTCAGTTATTTCCTTTCTGAACAGGAATGTTTCCCAACTGGTTAATCCTCAGCCTGCCTATGATACCCTGTGAATAATGTGGAACTTTGCTATATGATTGACTGTTCCAAAAAGTTAAAGATGACACATCTGAAATCAAACAGAACTAGGGATGCTTTATTCTGTTACATCTATGTTAAGTCACTCTGTACAGTTAGGCTTGGGCTTGGAGGTACAGTCCTGATGTTGATATCCCTCCTTCTTCCTTTCATAGCAAATCTCTCTAGCCATGGCAGGTAAAAATGTAATTTTTAAAATGTAATGAATCTTGTTGTTGCAATATCCCAGCATCTTTGAATTGCTATAATGGGATGCAAGTAGAAGGTACCTTATTGGGTAGCCTACTTTGATGGTCTTCCCATAGCTCTGCTGCTCATAAGACTAAATTCCATAAGGTCTAAACTGGTTTTCACCACATGAACTAATTACTGGAGGGCCAATTTGATTAGAGTTTGTCAAGTTTTACTAAATTATACTAAGTCCTATCACTGGCAGGCTTTAACTGCATTATGAAGAGAATCTTCATAAATGACCTGAAACTTGGAGATGCTCAAGGAAACACCTCCACAAACCTACTCTGGTCCATGAACAGATGTTTGGGAGATGCACAAGAGGTGCTTGCCAGATACCTGAAAATCATAGCCACTGCCAAATGACTCAACACCTCCTAAAGCTCCAGTCATACTGGATTTCTTTTTTCACCTTATCGTAATTTTGTTTGTTTTATTAGTTTGGTGTGTGTTATCTGTTACCTATTCTGTAAGCTGCTTGTCATTTCTGCTTGGACTGATTTGGGAATTTTTTTTTTTAATTGTGAGACTGTCAGCGGTCTCAGAGAGGGGAATCATGGCTAGTCAAGAAGGCTAAAGCCAGCTCCATCTTATCTGTGGTTCCTGTATCTTGCCTCAACCCTGTTTGTATCACAACCCACCTCCCCCTCCTCCATCTAGCAAGGACAGTCCAATCTATTAGAGCAGGGTTTCAAGAGGTAGCTAACTTGAGCCTTTCCTATTCAATCACAGGATACCACATCCTCTATTCCTTCTCCACAAGTCCCCAACAACAACCTTGCCTAATCTTGAGGTACCCAATCCACCTCTTGCCTAAATTAAAACCTATATAAGCTTTGTCCTTTTGTTCCTCTGTAGAGTCTTGGCCCCTATGGATGGGGCTCTTTTGCTGACAAACTCAATAAACCCATTGGTTTCTAAATTTATGGTATTGGATTTGGGTTATGGTTTGGGGGTTTTGGTTCTGGTTTGTGGTGACACCAACAATTTGACCTACAATACTCACAGCAGTCCTTTAAGGTAGGTGCTGTTATCATCCCCACTTTACAGTTGAGGAACCTGACAGGTTAAGTGACTTACCCAGAATCACACAGCTAGTAAGTGTCTGAGGCTGGATTTGAACTCGGGTCTTCCTGGCCCCAGGTCTAGCTACTGATGGAAACCTAGGTAGGTCTGTGGGCTGAATCTCAGAAGTAGGATGAGTGAAGGTTAATTCAAGTGAATTTTTAATTTTCCTGGTTGGGTTGGTATTTCTTCTGATGAATTCAAACTTTTTTTTCTTTTAAGGGCTCTGGCCAATGAGGCATTATAGCCCTCTATTTTCTCCTTGTCAAGGAGAGGATGACAGCCCTGAACTGCCTTTGGGAATTAACTGAATGCTATGCGTTTGCTTAGGATCTGGTGTGAGCTTAGGAGCTGAGCTGAATGAGATCTAGGGCTTCTAGATAGTTTGGGGTGGGAGGAAAAGAAGGGAGAAATACTAGGTTCCTCTTGGCCTTAGGACCCCAATCTGATGCCACCCTCACCTGCTCTATGTATTATTCCATTTGATATTCCCAACAACCCTGGGAAGTAGGTGCTATCCTTATCTTCATTTTACAAATGAGTAAACTGAGGCTGAGAGAGGTTAAGTGACTTGCCCAGGGTCACACAGCTAATAACTCAATCATAATTCGAGCTCAGATTTTCAAAACTCCAGGCTGTGCACTCTTTTTGATACCTTGTGGCAAATTCGGGCAGACTTAAGTTTTCTCATCTGTCCTGCTCAGACATTTGTTCAGCAGCCGATTTCCCATAGTGATTTTCCATGTTGCCTCACCCATCCTGCCCTCACTGTCTCATTTGTTTCTTCCAAAAGGCCCTGTGGGATGGGTGGGCATAGCTTCTGGTACAGAGAGATGGCTCTGAGGAGAGGCTTGAGCTTCTTGTCATTCCAAAACCAGCCTAGCGAACCTTGAGAGCTCCTCACTCTCAGACTCAGCCCAGGATGGGACCTCCCAGAGCCAATGCTATGATCCTATGATTTAACTTGTCACTCTTCATGATTTACAGATGAGGGAATTGAGGACCAAGAAAAGTGAAGTGACTTCCCCAAAGTTGGAGACAAATTGGGTCTCTGAGACCCAAACCCCCTAATTAGTGCTCATTGCCTCCTCTCACAATATCCAGTCCTTATTCCTGTATATATATTCCCCCAGCAGAATGTAAAATCCCTGAGGGCAAGGGGACTTTTTTTGCCCTTTATCCCAGTGTCTGGCACACCCTAAGTAGACTCTTAGCTGCTTACTGGGTGAGGCATACAGGATGAGCGAACAAGTCACTTGCTCTAACATCAAACTGGTAGTAAGTTTGACAGAAGAAGCCTTGCTTGGTATTTTCAGGCCCATCGCTGTTGTTGCTACGATATAAAACCAGAGGATGCTGTAGGAAGCAGTCTGGTTTTTATGAGTCTGTCCAAGTTTGGCAGAAACCAGGTTTTAAGGAAGCAGATGGTGTTGAGAACAGAAGTAAAAATCTTTTCAGAACTTGCGGTGGGGGAGGGGAAGAGTTGCATTTAGAGCAGAGGATCAAATTAAGACCTCGAAGGGACCTTCGCTATCAAATCCAACCCCTTTCATTTTTACAGATGAGGAAACTGAGGCAGAGAGAACTTAAGTGACTCATCCAGGGGTCGTAACACTGGTAAGGCAGAATTTGAACTCAGGTCTTTCTGACTCTAAGTCCAGCCTTCTGCAGGGAGGGATGGGGAACTCAGGGGTATTAAAAACAGCCTTAAGAGCAGTGGTATGGAGACAGTTCCAACTTGCAGCTGTTTCTGTACTACTGTTTTGTTTTGTTTTTTTAGCTGTGGAAACCGTGGGCAACTTAGACTCCCATTCTCCATCTGTAAAATGGGGAGAATATTTGTACTATCCCTTCTTCTCTGGGTTTCTATGAAAATGGAAGCAGAGTGCTTTGGAAACACAGTGGGTGTGGGATTGTAGGCCTGGGGCCACTTAAACCTCTCAGATAACCCTGTGTCCTAATCTGTGAAATGACTCCAACCCTAAACTCCATAGGTAGGTACTGAGAAAAGCGCTTTTCGAATACAGTACTGAAATGTTAAGGAAATGGGGGATGTTATTACCCTACCATGGGACACCCCTCTTTCTTTCTTTCTTTCCTGGGGAGTGAGGGACAGTTCAACTAAGGAAGGCGTGAGAGAGGAGGAGCCAGGCCAGGCCAGGAGGAATAAGAAAGGGCAGAGGAGCCAGGGTCCTCAAGCCCCTGCCTCACCGGGCTTCTCCCAGAACCTCTTTTGCTAGGGAGGGTTTTGGTTCTGACGCAGCTTGGTAGGCAATGTGGTTTAGGAGAAATGGAGTGGGTCTGGGAAGCTAGCTTTCACTTTTAACTTTGTTGTTTCCTCGCCCCAGGCGTTTTCACACACTTCTGGAATGACCTCTTCACTTATGACTCAGGATCCGCCCCGCGAAGTCTCCGCCCCCCTTTCCCCGCCTCCCCCAAGGCGTCTGTCCATTTTCAAATTATCTTGTACCTAACTAATAACAATAGCTAGCACTTCTATAGCTGAAGTTAAGTGTTGTTATTATCCTCATTTTACAGAAAAAGAAATTGAAGCAGGCAGAGGTGGTGGCTTATCCAGGGTCACTTAACCTAGTAAGGGACCGAGGGGAAATTCAAAGGCAGGTCTTCCTGACCCCTAGACCATCGCTCTACTGGTCCCTGTTACAACCTATTTATTTTTTTTTACATAATGTTGTAGCGGAATAAGCACTTTAAAGGCAGAAACTGGTTTCCCTTTTTTCATTTGTTTATGCAGCCCAGCACCTCGCTCTTGTTAGGCGCTTAATTGAATGATTGTGGTCACTTTACGTCTAAGGATCTTAGTTTACTCATCTGTAGAATGGGGTTGCTCAGTCACGAGGGAGAGACTGGGGATACATTAAGAAATGAAAAAAAAAATGTAAGAACAAAAAAAAATCAATTCCAAAAAATTGGCCCTATGAGTGAGTTCTACTTCCACTACCCCTCCCCCATCACTTCTCCTCCTCCAAGTAGGTAGTTAGGAAATGGCAGCTAGGGACAGAATGGGGGCTTTTCCCTAGCCGGATTGGAAGTAATCCTGTGAGTTTTTTTTTAAACCCCCAGAATCTAGGTCCATTAAAGCCGAGAGTGAGGGCGGAAGAACCCCAACCAGCTCTTCCGAAGGATCTGGGGCGGTGAAACCTCCCTGCCCCTGGGGTGCAGACCGATCCACCCCATAGCTGCCGAGCTACTTGGACCAGGCCAAAAGCTAATTGACTTATCCAAGCATCTCCCCGGGCTTAAAAGTAGGTGGCTCCGAGGTTCCAACCTCCTCCCACTTCCAGCCTGGGTAGCTCTGGAGGCCGAGGGAGCCACTCCGGAGGGCTGCAGGATTAGAAGACCTGGACACCCCACTTCCGGCGGGTATGACTGTCTTAGGCCGAATACGGAATTTTCTCTGTTCTCCATCCCGCAGAGTTGGGAGCTTCCCCTCGCAGTGTTCGGAACTCCTTGTTGAGTCTCGACCCATTTAGAGCTTTCCCTCAACTCAGCGTTTGAAATGACTGTCACTCACCCCAGCGTCACCCCTCATCCCTGTTCTAAATTCCTCTCTTCTTCCCCGCTTCATTCCATCCCTCCCTCTTCCTCCTCGGAGTTTTTAGCTCCGCACCCTTTCCTTCCCTGGTAGAGCAGGAATTCCCATTCCTCCAGGGTTGGAGTTTAGGAGTTCTCCCATTCCTGGGGTCCAGGAGGACCCTTCCTGGCTCTGCCTGCCTGGGGCATGCAGTTTGCTCTGAGTACCCATAGGAGAGCGATGCCTCCCCTACCTCTTTATGCCCTGAAACGGATCTGGCTCCTGGAGAAGTCCCAATCAGTCCCCTCCTGTGGCTGGGAGAAAAGGGAAAATCTTCATGCCACTCAAACGTCTGAGGGAGGGGCCGGGCCGGACTCTGAACGCGTCGCTAAAAGTTTCCATGACCCATCTGGTTGTCCAGCTTCCGCATCCAGCCTCCACGGCGGGAGCCGCTGGTGTGCTGCGCCTTGTCTAGCGGGACTGAGACTAGAATCTTCATTCCGGGGCAGCTAGCGGCCCCCAGGTCCTGGGAAATTCTTTGGCTCCTTCTATCTGGCTTCTCTGTATGTTCCAGCCTAAGCACTCTGGCACTCAGAACTTCTAAGGAAAGGTAAGGGGAGGGTGATGCTGCGGAGTCCAGTGGGGGCAGGGAAGTCCACCATTTCCTGGGTGACCTTGGCCCAGGACCCCACGTGGATCCACAGTCTCTTTCCCTTGTGGTAGTAGCTGATCAATTCCTCACTCTGGCAAGCAAGAGTTGGGAGGAAAAAGGAAAGGGTAGGAGGTTGGAATTAAGTACCTATTAGGACAGATATTACTGCCTCCACAACCTTAGTCACAGATCTAGGCGTCACACAGCTCTGCGGATTACTGAGCAAAGGTTAAATTACTCTCCCAGACGTTCCTTTACCTTAGGAGTTTTTTTAATCTATTTTGGTAACTGTATTTCAATAGAATTGGTTTCCTTTGGAATCCTCTGTATTTTAATCTTCTGCATTTAAAATCGTTGTTCTGAAAAGGTGCTCATAGGTTTTCCTCAGATTGCCCAAGGGACCCATGACCCCAAACACCAAAAAAGTTAAGAACTCCTGTCAGTTTGTTCGGCCACAGCTGACTCTTCATGACCCCATTTGGGGTTTTCTTGGCAGAGATGCTGGAGTGATTTGCCATTTTTTTTACAGCTCCTTTTACAGAAGAGGAAACTGAGGCAAACAGGGTGAAGTGAATCGCCCAGGGTCACATAGCAAGTGTCTGAAGCCAGATTTGAACTCAGGAAGATAAATCTGACAGTTTACACCTTACCTTTTCCAGTATTCTTTCCTACAATCTCTCAGCCAAACTTAATAGTTCTCTCTGTGCTCCAGACATTTCCTGAGCTTTGCTACCTTGATGGCTTTGCTCACCCTGTACCCTATGCTTGAAATGTCTTCCCCACCCTCCTCCCCGGATCCCCACCCCTTTACACCTTGAATTCCTAACCATGCTCTTAACAGCCCAACCCAAATGCTACCTTTTTCCTTTGTTCAGTTTTGTTTACAAAGGTACTTGAGTGCTAGGACAATCATATCTCTGACTTCGTATTACTAAAATATTTCTGATCAATAATTTTCACTTCATTATTTTTAAAAAACCAAATCAGTTTTATTATTATTTTATCAAAATGCCTGCTAAAATCTATAGGGCCTTTTGCTTTGTACATAAGGAGAAGGAAGATAGCAAATACCTGTTTTCTCTTCAGTCTTTACCTAGGGAAGAGAGAACAGGGATATACTGGAGAGATTTTCAGTTTACAAAACTGGCAATTTATTGGTTATTGGGAGTGGTGTAAGTGAGAGTTAAGGATCAAATACAAGTTATAAACCTGGGTGGCTAGAATTTATATTTTATTCTAAAAATGCTAAAAAGCCACTGAAGAAGCTTCTTGAGCAGAGAATTGACAAGGTCAGATCTGCTCACTATTAAGTGCTTGGTGAATTGAATTGGGGACAGAGAGAGACCTACCAGGTCTTAACTAAACTCTCTATTTGCTCCAGCTCTTAGTAATGAAATCTGTTGCTGTTTGCTGGTGCTGGACACGAGATGGGGGAAAAACCAGTTTGGTCTTTGACATTATGATGGATGAATTGGTAATTTATGAAGTTATGAACTGGGGGCAGGCTTGCCCAGTTTTTGGGGCACTCTCCAGGAAAGACCCTGATTGGCAGCCAGAAATAGGACAGCAGTCACACTTCAATGAAGGCCAATAGTACAGAAAATACAGAGACAAGCAGCAAAAAGGATACAGAGGTGGATGGCAGTGTGAGGACAGGGGATGGGATGGTGAAGGAAGGCAGGCAATGTGGGGAAGAGGTTGGGAAGGGGGAGAGGTAGAAAGTATCACTCCCATAACCATATTAGAGTTGGAAGCACTAGGCAGCATGGACCCAATGGAGCTGGAAGAGGGTTGAAGTCTCATTTTTATAGGATCTTTTGTTTTTGTTTTTGAAACAGACCAACTCTTATCTGTGCCACCTTGGGGCTAGTTCATTAACATCCAAATCATCTCAAAGTTTTGATAAAACTTCAAAGTTAACATATCCACATCATCTCAAATTTATCATCAACTTTTGATGCTCTGCTAATCTGGAGTGTTTTGAACCAGAACCTCCATTTGCCCTCCATTCAGAGGGGAGAGGGGCTCAGAAGATGTTGAGTATCAAAAGCTGAGTCAGTCTGTATGGTGTGATGAGATGTAAGGAGATCAGTTTATCTTGAGGAAGCCATGGCATTCACGGAGCACAACCAAGCAGAGCTTCTCATGAGACGTGTGGGGGATGTGTTGGCTCTCTTTAAATATTTGCAGGGCTTTTGGTGAAAGATGGATTAGACTCATTTTGCTTGCCCCAGAGGACACAACTGGGAATGATGCATGGGAACTGCTGGGAGACAGATTTGGATTACTGTAGGGTAACATCCTAACAGTCAGAGTGGTCCAAAGGAGGTGTGGGCTGCCTCGTGAAGTAGTGAGTGGCCCATGATTGGAGGTCTCCAAGCATTGGCTGGATGATGCACTTGTCAGATAAATTGTTGAAGGGATTCTTGTTCAAATGTGGGTGGGACTGGATTGGCCGGGAGCTCCCTTCTCATCCTTCCATTCTGTAGTGTTCTGATTTGCCCACTTGAGTCACTGGGGGCCATCGGGGCAGCTACTACTACTCACAGATTGTTGTTTTTCCTTCATTCTGGAAGAAGACTAATGACGTCAGGGGGGTGACGTCTTGACTTGCAAGCAAATTGGATTTAAGATCACATTGCTAATAAGAGTCAGGGCTGGGGTGGGAACCCAGGTCACCTATGTTCAAGAGCAGGGATCTGTCTATAAGACTCCAAAGCTTGTCTTGATGATAGGAAGAGAAAGAGCCAGATTTTTCCCATGTTAGCTATTATGTTCCTGCTCCAGGACCCTATATTTACACATTCCTCACACCAGCTCTGTGGAAGGCAGGGAGGGAGGAGGAAGAAGGAGCAGCCCCAGTGCCTGTCCTCAGGGAGTTTTCAGTCTAGTTAGGAGGACAGATTTACATGCTGAGAACAATTATGTGCCGATCTGTGGTATGGATGCTAAGTTCAATAAGAACTCAGAGAAGGGAGAGAAAGATAGTATAGTATAGAGCTCTGGGACTTGGAGCGAAGACCTGAAGTCAAATCCTGATTCAACTGCTTCTTATCTATGTCACCCTGGGCATTTTTCTTCTATGGGCCTCAGTTTCTTCATCTGAAACATGAAGGCATTTGACCAGATGATCTATAAGCTTCCTTCTGGCTCTAATTCCTATGAATCCCAGCTCTTATACTCACTAGTATGGGACCTTAGATAAATCACTTTCCCTTTTTGAACCTCAGTGTCCTCATCTGTAAATTGTGGATAATCCTCTTCCTAGCACTCACCTCACAGGGTTGTTGTGAGGAGAGCTTGTTGTAAATCTCAAATGCCCTTTGAAGTAGGAGGCATTGTTATCGGGAAGGGCTGTGATAGTCAGAGAAGGCTTCTTGGAGGAATGCTGCTAGGATTTGAAAGAAAGAAAAATGATTGAATTATTACACTGAATGCTATGGATACAAATAGAAAAACAAGCTAGTCTCTGCTCACAAGCTACATTCTAAAGTGAGCTTGACACATATAGGAGGTTTCACCTTCAAGTCACATGGAGAGGTCCCATGGTGTTTGGGATACGGACACAAAGCACACATTAATGCAGCATCTTTAATATTTCTACTGATACTCCTGTCCATTTCCAACACTGAGTCATTTGAAGGAGTGCGATGGCAAGAATTTGATTTTTGGAGGCAGGGGCTCTCTGCCCAAAGAAGCCGCTGCCAGGTTGCATCTCCATAGGGGTTGCTCCCTGGGATTATGGCTGCTGGGGTTGGGCTGGAAGCAGAGGCACTAGTGTTGGAAGCCATAGTTATTCCTAAGGTTCTTGGGGCCAACATCCTGGACTACCTCTTCTGGGGCATGTCTGAGGGGAGAAGTGGTGGTTGAAATGGGGGTGGTAGTATCACTCTCCTGGCACATCCCTCAGGGTGCCTTGCTACCATAGCTAGGCTGGCTCACCTGAGAAGTAGAGGAAAGGGAATGTTATGCAGTGGGGGTAGGGGTGGGAAGGAAGAACATGAGTAAAACACTAACTCTGCTTCCATTCTGTTTGCTGCAGATACAGTTGAAATGCCTGAAGGCAGGATTTTGGAGGCCTGAAGTACTGGGGTCAGAACCAGAGGACCCTCTCCTTCTCAGGCAGACAGAGCAGAACATGCCATGTCTACCCTTTCTCCAGGTGGCCAAAGATGGCAGAGGACGCCCCAAGCTTGAAGGGAGCTTTTGACATCTTACACCAAGCTGGGCAGGACAAACTCCTTTACCTCAAACATAAGTTGAAGGCCCCTAGGCCAGGCTCCAAAGCCAGCAGCTTCCTACACACCATGGTCCTCCTGACTCTGGGGCAGGAGACAGAGGCTAGGATCATCTTGGACTCACTGAGAGGAGATAAGGTGGCACTCTCTGTGGCTAGAACTTGGGAGGGGACAGGGCCTCTCCTGAACCAGGAAGACCTTTTGTCATGTGAAGAGCAGGCAGACATCCGATTGGCTGTTGCCCGCATTTACCAGTTACTAGTAGAAGAAAAGCTATGTGAGGCTTCATCCCGGAACCAAGCCTACCAAGCCGCCATTCAGGCCCTCAGCCTGTGTCATGATGCTCGGTTGGACAGCATCCTGGCTGAGGCCCAGTCCCAGTGTGGCCAGGATATCCATGGGGCTGAGAGTTTCCAGATGCTCAGGTCAGATGTGAGCTGCCTTCCAGTGTCCTCAGCCCCAGCCTGTAGGGTCAGTAGTCACCCCTGGCCCATCAAGGCCAGGTCAGATTTTCTGGCAACTGAGTCACTTCCCTTATCCTTACGTTCTACCGGTAGTCCCGCCTCTTTTGCCAGCAACCTGCAGATCAGTCAGTCTCCCACTTTGCCTTTCCTCACCCACCAGCCTCAGAAAAGGAGCCCCAGAGGCCCCAGTAAATTGTGTGAGGACCCTCCAACCAATTCCACACAGGATCCTGAACCACAGGCCAGGCAGGAACCAGAGGAGATGAGCTGGCCTTGTTCAGACCCAGCCGCCTCACTCCCTGTACAGCTAAACAGCTCGGCCTCAGTGGTTTCTGATTCTCGGGTTCCCAGCTCCTCCACCCCCCCATCTCCTACAACCCCAGTGGCCCCTGAGACCAGCACACATTCTCCTGTGGAATGTTTTAAAGCACTTTCTGACCCCACATCTCTACAGCCAGCCTCAGTGAAGCCTGCAGAAACTCTTGTCTCCAAAGACAGTTTTAGGGTGCTTCCAGAATTGCCTCCCATGTCAGTCCCTCCTGCTGGAGAAGGGAAGGCCACCCCACTCCCTGTGCAAGAGAGTGATTTTCCAAAGAAGACCACAAGTCCAAGACCTCCCATCTCTACCCAGGATCCTTCTCCATCTCCGTGGTCTTCACTGCCCTCAGGACCCGAGCTGGACACAGGACAGCGTTTCTTCAGCTTTGTGATCCTCCACGCCCAGGAGGATGAAGATATTGCCCTTCGAGTCCGGGATACCCTAGAGAGCCTGGGCGTACCAGATGGCACCACATTCTGTGAGGAATTTCAGGTCCCTGGCCGTTTCGAGCTACGGTGCTTGCAAGACGCCATTGACAACTCCGCCTTTACGGTGCTACTGCTCACAAAACACTTTGATTGCCGCATGAGCCTCCACCAGGTGCATGTGGCGCTAATGAACTCCCTCACGAGGAGTGAGAAGGAGAACTCCGTCATCCCCTTCTTTCCCCGGGAGAGCACACTGAAATCTGCCAAGGTCTCCCCACTGCTGAAAGGCCTGGTAAGCCTGGATGAGAGTTCTCCTGTCTTCTCCAAGAAAGTCAGTAGCACCTTCAACCCTCGGAGGCTACAAGCCCAGAGGGAAGTGTGGAAGAAACAACAGGAAATCCGGGCCATCCAGGAGCAGACTCAGCAGATGGCAGAGGACAGGGAGAGGGTCTCCCAGAAGGAGAGTGCCCTCTCCGACTTAGCATATCACTATAGCCTTCTGCAACAGCAGTTACAGAATCTCACCTTGGCTTTCCCAAATCAAGCATCCTTTGCTCAAGGCTACAGGATGCCAATGCCACATCCTTGGGCATGTAGTTTCCCCCCTCAGTTCACCACTGCTCCTTCAGCTTTCCAGCCCAATCATTTGATCCCACCTATGTCTTTTCCCCCTGGCCCCATTTCAAACCCCCAGCTGGACCCTCAGGGTGCCGGGGCCCAGCCTCTTATCATCCATAATGCTCATATGGTACAATTGGGTCTCAATAACTACATGTGGGGCCGGAGGGAAGGGCAGGGCCCCAATGAAGAGGAGAGAACTGAGGGAGAGTGAGAAGACCCAGGTAAGGTCCAGAGCCCTTGCTCCACTGTTCAGCAGGACCCTGCTGCCACCGCTGGTCTGAGGAACCAGGAGAACAAGCATGGGCCAGTGCTAGAGAAATGTCCACAGCTAGGATCACAAATTTAGAACTGAAAGGCATCTGAGAAGCCCTTCAGTCCAACACCCTCATTTTACAGATTAGAAAACTGAAGTCCAGAAAAGATGGGTGACTTCCCTGACGTCACACAACTAGTAATGGCTAGAATTGAGAATTTCATCATCTCAAGGATGGCATGTAGGGCTAAGAGTGGAAGAAAGCATCGCCATCATCCCTGTTCGTTGCCTGGTCTCCCTCAAGGGACATGGAGCATTAAAGAAAGCCACAGAATTGTGCAAGTAGAGAGATGCAGCATTTTCCTTTTTTGGTACTGTTGTCCCATTTCTTTCCAGGGTCTGGAAAGGAGCCTTGGTTGAAAGCTTCCAGCTCAATATCCCCTCGCTGCTCAGAACATCATCAAGGAAGCAACATCTGATAGTGATCTTCTGTCTGGGACCCTCTTCTCCTTTCCCTGATTCTCCACTTAGACTCTACCACTTGTGAAGTGGGTGCTAGGCAAGTTGGTCTTCCTCTGGTTGGGTCTTCTGGGTTTGAGATTTAATGTATTTGAATGTATTGGAGGGGAGGGAAGGTCATTACCACCACCATCAAAAGACACAAATGGATGCCTACTTTGTGCATAGAACTAGGCACTGGAACTGGGTTGTTTTTGTTTTTGTTTTGGGGGAGGTTTGGATAGATTTCAGGGGCTCCATAAACTTGGATGGGAAAAAATGACATGTTTATTTTCGCTACCTTCCAACTTAAATGTAGCATTTCCTTCCATTGTGAATTCAGGCAACAGACGCTATTCTGAAAAGGAATCCACAGACTTCACCAGACAGCCTAAGGGATCTGTGACATAGAAAAAAGGTTATGAACCCCTAGACTAGATGGAGGGGAGATGAGGGGAACAGACAGAGTCATATATATGTATATGTATACACACACACACACACACACACACACATGTCTTCACCTATATTAATCTCATCTTCCCAGCTGATTGTGTCATCTCTCTCTCTTTCTCTGTGTGTGTGTGTGTGTGTGTGTGTGTGTATATATATATAAATGGAAGATGAGATGAATATAGCTGAAGACATACTTACTACCTGTAGGTCTCTTCACAGAAAGAATTTGATTTTGTCCAATCCCCTTTCAAAGATCTCAGAAGAGGAGAAGGCACCTTCTCTTCCCAAGGCAGCCTTTTACACTTTTAGATGGTTTCAGTGGCTGGGAAGTTTCTCCTTACATTAAGCTGATGCTTAGCTCTCCGTTCATCCACCTGGTTTAGATTTCTGGGGCCAAAGAGAACAATGCCTCTTCTCCCTGACAGCCCCTCAAATACTTAAAACACATTTTAACGGTAGATGACAACTGCCACACACTACATATCCCTCCTCGAGACCCCCTTGCCCCCCCCCAAGTCTGCAGGCTAAGCGTTACTGATTTCCTCATCTTATCCTCAAAGGGCCCTCACAATCATGGCTGCCCTCCTGCACATTCTCCAGTTTGCTAATATCCTTTCTAAAATGTGCCTCTGAGTACAGAACCCCTGTTTTAGGCTGTACTCTTGACTCTCCCTGACTTTATCATGCCATAGAAACCTCTTCATCCTGGCAGCTTACACTGGCCCTAGACTTCCCACATTGGAAGTACCCCCTGCCCCTGCCTCCTCTCCTTCTGATGTGTTGGCCCAGGCCAACCATGTCCTCATTCCTCTGTACATTATACTCCTGACTCTCCAGACTTTCTCTCTAACATGGCCCTAGGCTTCGTACTTACATCTGTCTCCCTCTTTTCTTGCTTTTCAGTTTCCTTTCATGGGTTGTCTTCCCCCATCAGAATGTAAACTTTTTTTTTCCCCTGAGGCAGTCGGGGTTAAGTAACTTGCCCCGGGTCACACAGCTAGTGAGTTATCATGTATCTGAGGCCGGATTTAAACTCCTGACTCCATGGCTGGTGCTCTATCCACTGTGTCACCTAGCTGCCCCAGAATGTAAAGTTTTTGAGGATAGAGTCTGTCTTTCTGTTTGAACTTATATCCCCAACACTTAGCACAGTCTCTGGCATGCAATAGATGCTTAATAAATGCTTGTTGAGTTCCTGACTGGGGAGGAGTACAGTTAGTACCATCACGAGATCACAGGAAGGTTTTGGGGCACTATCATATCAGAGCTAACTCACTAAGCTTACAAGTCAGTAAAACCCCAGACCTTTTATCAGATGAACTAGCCATGCCTCCCCCCATGTTATATTTGTGAAGCTGATTTTTTTTTTTTAAGAAAGCCCAAGTATAGGAGAGCTTATAGAGCTTGGGTAGTAGAAAGAGCTCTGGTTTTAGAGAATCTGGGTTCAAATTCCACCTCTGCCAATTACTAATAGTAAGTAGGGCAAGCCTCTTAACTTTTTCTGTCGGGTCTCTGTTCCTCATCCGTAAAATGGGTATTTAAAAGGCCCAGGGTAAGAACATATTCCTGGGGCACTCCACTGAGCATTACCTCTTTTTTCAGCTGCCATAAAATCATTAATGATTCTCTTTGGGTCCAACCATTCAAGCAGAACTGAATCCACATAAATGTATAATTGTAAAATCCACATTGTTCTATCAGGCAAGAAAATTATTCCTGTTTAATATGTAAGTTGGACTTGAGGTCTCTTCCAATTTTGAGAGTCTAAGATTCTGTGAAAAGCACATGGGCATCTTTCTGCCCTTGGGTTCATAATGAACTAGGAAGCCACAACTTACTATAGTACTAAAAGGATCAATAGTTTTGGCAGGGTAGGCACTCTCCATGGATAGATACAAATTCCAGCCATGCTTCACTTAACCTTACAAATAGTTTCCATAGCTGCTGCAGGTGAAAAAAAAAATGGACCCAATGTCCAACCCTGTGGTGATGGACTTTTCCACATTCAGCCAGGCTGGTCTTCTGGTGACAATCCTATTGCCCAACCAATCCTTACAGTCCTTACAAAAAGGCCTTGGAACTGGCCAGGGCTGGTCAACACTCTGGGCAGAGCCTTTGTGATGCTAAGGGTACCATGATGTACCAATGAAGAAATGGAAGAAGGCTTTAGTAGAACTTGACATAGTGTTGACAAATACTCATTTCCTTCCATGTTGGTGGTTGGGGGCGATGGATGGTTGAACTGAAGGTTGAATCAGCTCTTCTGTAATAAATATTTATTGAATAATTCCTTGTATCATTCAGTGTTCCTGTCCTCTAAATGTGAACTAAAAAAGGGGGGAACCCAACTTCTGAAGCAGGGAAGGGTGTCCAAGGAGTAGGCCCAGGCTCAGGCATAAGCTAGGTGAACTGCCCATGGCAGGCTAGCAAGAAAGGGCTCAGTTTTGGCTGAAGAATGTTTTGGGTTTTTTTGTTTGTTTTTGGTTTTGTTTTGCTTTGTTTTATATTGGAGATGGGAGGGACAAAGAAGGAAGGAGAAAGGCCTTTTGAATATAAGACATGGAATCATGACACTTGGCTTCAAATCCCAACACTTATAACATATTATCCCAGTGGGTCAATCATTTAACTTATCTGTCATTTAACTTGTAAAACTGGGTTGGAGGAGGTATGATAATCCCAGTAACCACCCACATCAAAGGGATGTTTTGGGTGAAGTCACTTAATAAACCTTAAGGTACTATATAAATGTGAGTTGTTAGTGTTCATAAGTAGTACCAACTTGCATAAAATGGTTTATGTAGATTAGTTATTAGTTGTAGATCAATTAATTATTAGTTGTTAATCAAGCATTTACTGTGTCAAGCACTCTTAGGTGCTAGGAATACAAATAAAAAATTGAAACAACCTTTAGACTGCTAACATTCTCTTAGAGGAGGCAACCAAAAAAATGTGTATATATGTATATCCACAACATATATAACATGTATACAACATACACACACACACACACACACACATAGAATTAAGGATGAAATAAACACAAAATAGAGAGGGAAGATACAAGCAATTGGGATCCAGAAAGGTTTCAGGTACCATGAAATGTGGCCATGGAATGTGGGATGGGCTCAGATGTTCTGGAGCTTCTGCCAATTGGAAGAAAGGCCCCACCTACTGAAAATCCTCACTCTCCAGCCAGAGAGGCCACATCTACCGGTATCCTCACCTGAGAGAGTTGAGGAAATTGGAGTGGGGAATTCAGCCTCCTGTTATATATTCCTAACAATCAGAGCTCTTCCAAAGTGGAATGGGTGACTTTGGGAGGTAGTGAGTTTCCTGTTAGTAGAAGTCTTTAAGCAAAGCCTAGATAAGTATTTATCAGGGATGTGGTGTGTATGTGTGTGTGTGTGTATGTGTACGCGTGTGTGTGCGCACAAGCATGTGTGTGCCTTGTAAAGGTACACGTTGGATGTCTTAAGAGGTCTCTTTCAACCATGGGTGGTATGACATGAATAGTGCTGGGAAGGTCCCTTTCTCCATAATATTTCCCCCTACCAGCCTATTGCTGATATCTGACATTCATCTCCAAGACATCATTCCTTTGTGGTTAAACATTGCATTTTTTGAGGTAGTGGAGCCAAGGTGGAGGAGTAAAAGCAGTGACTTGCTTGAGCTCTCCCCCAAACCCCTCCAAATACCTATAAAAAATGACTCTAAACAAATTCTGAAGCAGCAGAACCCACAAAAAGACAGAGTGAAACAAATTTCCAACCCAAGACAACCTGGATAAGTGATTAGAAAGGTCTATTGCACCAGACTGGGAGAGAAACTCAGTTCAGCGTGGGCACACAGGGAGAGACCAGGCCTCAGAGAACCTGGAGCAGGCCTCAGGGGACTGAATAATGGGCAGCTGTGGCAGTTTCCAGACTTCTCAACCCACAAACACCAAAGACAACTTAGAAGGTCAGTAGCAAAAGTCTGTGACCTTAGTTAGAGAAGCTTGTCCCACCCCCAGTCCCAGTGCAGCCTGGGGCCAGCAGTGGTTGCTTCCAGAGCTCTCAGCCCACAGACTGAGGGGGAATCAAGTGGCTGATCAGAGGGGAATTGCAGGGATCTCTTTGCTGGTGCTGAGGCAGGATTCTCTTGCTTTGCCTATGCTTAGATCTGGGTCACAGTTCTGGGTGGCGGTCCTGGGGTGAGGAGGAGGGCTGGCGTGTTAGAGCTTGTGGTTGCAGTAGAGAAGGAATCATTCTCACAGTTCCAAGGCAGAAAAGAGTGCTTGTGCTCATTCACAGACCAGAGCACAGGCCAGGAAAGGAGTAAACACCTCACCCTTTATCATACCACCTTAGAAGAACTGAAAATTTACATGTCCCTAGAAGTATCTCTGA